TGGAAGGGAAAAATGACCAGTTTTTTAGATACCATTGAAAGTAATTATGAACTCAGATTTTTAAGGGATTTCAAAAAAGGTCATGAATTTAATAAAAGTTCATGTTTTTTATGAATATTTAAGAAGTTGATGAATTAGAAAAGAAGTTCACATACTCGAAAAAATTTCATGCACAAATTTGGAAAAAAATTCTGAATTTGAAAATTTTCATGAATTGAAAAAAATTCACGCATTTCAAAAAAGCATGGATTTAAAATATATTCTCAGTTTTTTAAACTTGCTTGTGGATGCACAAAATATTCATGAATTCAAAAAAAGCTTTGCAAATTTGGGAAAAAAATCACGAATTTGAACAAGGAACAGAAAAAAGAAAAAGAAGGAAAATAAGAGAAAAACCAAAACTTAGAAAGACCGAATAGAAAGCTAGCCAAAAATAGAATTTCAAAATACATAAAACTTGGCCCAGAAAATAGAGGGAACCTTCTAGAAGGTTCAAGGTTGCCAAAACTATAATTTGAGATGAACGAAAAAAATTGAGTGTGTGGTGTGAAGAAGTAAATGGGCCAAGGTCGAAGGTCAAAAGGGATGTCCTTTTTATACCCAAACAGTAGAAAGCGACGCCATAAGCGTTGAATAGAGAAATGACTAGTTAAAGGCCTAATAATGATCAAGGAGCCCAAGCAAATGTCACTCCCATCTCTCGTGGTGACAAATGGTGCACTCCATTTGTGACACTTCAACATGAGAGCTTAATGCATTTTTCATTCATTCATTTTGTAAACGTTTTATCTTTTAAACCGTGCATTCAACTGCGAACCATTATTACCGTTGCGTTTTTCCCATCGAGATCTTCGTAACTAGATCTCATGTTACTAGATTTTTGGACGGACTTCTTTTCCCCCAAAAGGACTAACCCAAAAATAAAAAACCAAAAACAGAAAGATAAAGACCAAAAAGAGCAGAAAGCTGAAAACCCAGAAAAAGTGAGCCAGAAGCATACCTATGCTTTTCACTTTCTTAAAAGTGCACGTGTTTTTTTTTTTACTTTTTGGGAAGCACAATTGTGTGCTTTTCACTTTCCAAGAAGCACAATTGTGTTGCACGCGGAAGCACATTTGTTCTTTTCACTACATCGAGAAGCACAAATGCGGGTAGCACGTTTGTGCTTTTTCGTGAAGCATAAATGTGCCTTTTCACTTTCGAGAAGCATATCTCTACTTCACAAGGAAGCACCGTTATGATTCACCGTGAAACACAACAATGCTTTTTGTACGTTGTGTTTCGTGTGATGAAAAAAGTAACTTATTTTTGAGAAAATCTAGAAGAAAACCATGCAAAATCAAGAAAATATATAAAAACCTAAAAGTGCATGAAAAAACAATACACATGGATGCACCAGTGTGCGACACATGACGATGACTGGACGCATTTATTTTCAAGGAAATAACTCTTGGGGAAAAAGAACGAGCGTCTGATGCATGGGAGCACGGATGGGAGCACAGGCACGGGAGTACCGAAACACAAAAATTCCGCGGTCGAACTACCATAATATCTAGAAATGTAGATTGTCCCAAGGGCGCCATATTCTAGGAGCCCAAGACTGCTTCAAATACAGTATCGGGAAGCACAACTTGGGGAAGAAGGGATACTTGTCTACTACTAACAAGCTGGTTCCAGT